TTTTTTTTTTATCTGATCCCGTTACTAATTCATGTGAAAATTTCTTAATTATTGTGAATAAATAAAGTCATGAATGAGCCCATATGTGAAACAAGTGAAATTCTTCAACATCAATTGCTGTTTCTAGTATTATTTGAGGTATCATGTAATATGGACAACAAATATTTTTTTTTTAAGGAATCTATACATTTGTCTTTGTCGATAGCAATATTTTGAAAGATGACCCCACTGGTTGTCATACAATATTTTAAGCCGATAATAAATTTAGCAAGATGCCTATTTTGCTATTCCAGCCAATAATATTATGTCACGTGAAAGTGTTATCACTCGTGTCATAGCATTATTGGTGCTATCCTCGTTTCAAGAAAGTCTTTCTCGTTCTTTAAGCAAAAGAGGTTCTGTTTGAGAAAATGACTCCAACTCCTAGCTTCCGGTTTGATCATTTTTAGCCTCCTACTTCGCTTCTTGGGTTTTCCCCCAAATTACAGCATAAAACCCTACCACTGTTGAAATAGATTGAAACATAAGCTATAATTTATATCATTGCAACCAATATAAAGAGTGTTATAAAAGATAACATTAACCTTCCAAGAAATGCCACGCCAACAAAACGTGCGATGACCAAACCAAGTGGCTTGAACATGGCAACATAAACAGGACCCTTTATATTCAATGCCCACAAGTGAATACCAGTCCTTATCATTACTTCAAAAGCTGCCTCTAGAAATCAATTAAGCAGCACATAAAGTTTGGTTGAAAATCAAAAGAAAATTAACCCAATAATGTTGAAAAAGATCTTTCCTCAAATTGTACCCAATAGCTATGAGCTTAATATCAGACTTTAGCTTCCATGCATTTAGTCCTTCGACAGCAATCAGAGAAATTGCAGCAGATTGGATGATGACAAAGATGCCGCGAATTGTTCTTACCATTAACACTGCAGGGTAGTCCCTAATAACCCATGTCTGCAGATAAATGAAATGACATTGGTCTCCCTTTTTTTCTAAGCCATTTCTTGTTTTCAATTTTAATGAAATGACAGCACTGATTCTAAAATGCACATACAAAAATGCATATACATCAAACACATGAAATGACAGCACTGAGTCCTTGTAGAAGGTCACTACAAAAGCCCCAGTAATTGACACTACAGTTCCTGTAGTCTTAGCAATTTAGCTTTTCCATCCTAATTAAAATACAAGTAATCATGAGACTTGCTTGACAAATAATTAAAAGTGGCTTTAGTCAATATCTATGGTGAGTTGGAAGAAGAAAAAAAAAATCATGATTTTAACAGAAGAAAAAGCCTGACGTTGAATAATAACAAAAACACAAACTGAAGGAAATTAGAAACCTGAATAGTAATGCAAGTATGAATGTAAAGGCTGGAACAAGATTAAGCATGGCTGTGCTAAGTGTAGCAGAGGCGTAGTTTAAACCAGCAAGTCCCATTAACTGTCTAGAAGATCTGCATATATGAAAATAAAATTAGCTGAAAAGTGGAAAAAGCCAAAGACAGGAACAACTTGAAGCCTAATAAAATAAAGGCAAGCCCATAATTACAATGGAACTAAGGTCTTTTTTGCTAAGATATAATATTTGGTTTTAATACTTTAGGTTTATGGAGAATTAATACTTTAGGTTAATTGTATTCTTCTCCATAAGGAGATATATAGGAGTTTACAAGGGTGCTTTACAAGGAAATAAATACAGTAATTAATTAGGAGAATATCTCCTAATTATATAAGGATGTGTCGACTATATAAAACAAGGAAGTAAATCACCTAATTAACTTAGGAAATAAATCTCCTTGATTTAATAGGTTAATTCACGTCAACACTCCTCCTTAAGTTGGTGCATACACATCATCATGGCTCAACTTGGTTAGTGAGTCATAAAACACTCGTCCACAGACAGCTTTTGTTAAGACATCCGCTAATTGATCTTTTGATTTTATGAAGGGTAGACAGATGATCTTGTTCTCAATTTTTTCTTTGATGAAATGTCTATCCACCTCAACAAGTTTAGTTCGATCATGTTGAACTCGATTATGAGCAATATCGATAGCTGACTTGTTATCACAATATAACTCCGTAAAAGAACTTACTTGGGAGATATTCCTCACCCAAATTCACAATCACTTGTTTAGAAGTCAGTAACTTGGGGCGCAAGTTATCTATTTTTAGAAAGCCTGCTAGGATTTTTATCGCTAGCAGTGGCACACTCACACATTAAAGAAAGTTGACTTGTTGACCAATCAATGGTTCTCAAGGCAATGGGAAACTTTACCCTACCATCACAGGAACAAAAGTAAAACGAGTGAACAGAATGTAAAGTAACCTGATGTAGAGTGTCTATTTGTAATAGAACCAGCCCAATCAACATATGTATATCCAACAACTTCAAGATTTCCATTCTTTGAGAACATTAATCCCTTTTCCAAGGGTTGACTTTAAGTATCTTAAGATCCAATCAACTGAATACCTATGAGAAACACTAGGTGAATGCATAAACTGACTAACCACACTCACAGCATATGCAATATATGGTCTTGTGTGTGCCAAATATATCAACCTTCCAACAAGGCGTTGATATTGTTCCTTATTGGTTGGTAATCGGTCCATGTCTTCACACAACTTGTGATTCATCTCAATGGGTGTGTCATCAAGCTTACATCTAAGCATTCCTATTTCAATGAGTAGATCCATCACATATTTCCTTTGAGACAGAAATATACCAGTTTTTGACTTTGCTACTTCAATTTCGAGAAAGTATTTTAGAGCACCTAAATTATTCATCTCGAATTCCTGAGACAAATACTTTTGTAGCTTTTGTTGCTCTCATGGACAGAAATATACCAGTTTTTTACTTTGCTACTTCAATTTCAAGGAAGTATTTTAGAGCACCTAAATTATTCATCTCGAATTCCTTAGACAAATACTTTTGTAGCCTTTGTTGCTCTCATGTGTCGTTCCCAGTTACTACCACGTCATCCACATAAACAATTAATGCAGTGATTTTACTTTGAATGTATACAAAATTGTTCACAGACTTAGTAAATCTGTCAAACCATGCCCTGAGAGATTGTTTTAACCGATATAATGACTTTCTGAGCATGCAAACTTGATTTTTCTTGTCATGAGCGAAATTAC